GGATAACGGGTGTCGACTGAGAACAAGCAGCTGTTGCAGCTTCTGGAGGAAATCAGCTCACCTGCTTTTGGCTCATTGGTGTTGTCGTTCCCGCTGCGGAGGGTTTTGGCTTTTCAACTACCGCTGCGTCACGTGTAGCATTCAAGCGCAGTGGGAAATTCCAATGACGCGGCCTTTTGCAGGCCTGGATGGATATAACACACGTGTTATTATGGTTGTTATAATTATTATTATTATTATGTGGGATTTTTTTGTTCTATTTTCACGATCCTTTTGCACTGTGGTACTTCTGCTATTTGTCATTCATAAAGACATCAGTGCCTTTGGTTTTAAGTAGAAAGGTGTGTGGTTCAGACTCAGGCAGCCTTTACTGCCCCCCCCCCCCCTCCTGGGGGCAGTAAAGGTGATTAAAAGCTTCTGTGTGTTAACGATTGTGTATAAATGTTGTGTAGTTCTGTGCAGAAGATGGAAACAAACCAAACGGCTGGTGGCCTTTTCTTTCTGCGCTGACCCTTCAGAGTGTGAGAGCCTCCGGACGCGCGCGCTCACGCCCAGCAAAGCGCTTTCATTTGGAAAAATTGAAAACATGAGTGTAATGGATGTGTGTGGTTCTGGCGGCCCGCAGTCGGCTTCAGAGGAGGAACCGAAGGCCGCGACACGTCGACAAATTGACTCACTCACCTGCAGCTTTGAAACTCGACACCGTTGACGGTTCACCGGTGTTTTCTGAAGAGGGAAAGGAAAGAGGAGGCCTCATCGTCTCCTCCAACGACAGACAGGGAGACAGTGTGTGTGTGTCTGTGTGTGTCTGACACGTGCTGCTTTAGATACAGGAGGGCTGCAAGTGGAAACTATACAAAAGTGAAGACGAGGCTATTCATCAAACATCTCACATCAAACAGAGAGAGAGAGACAGAGAGAGAGAGAGAGAGAGAGGTTTGTTCAAACAGCAAACAGGAGAAGGAGAGAAGATGGATTTTCTTGTTGAAATTAGTGCTAAACCAGCTTCTACATTAAAATGCTGCTTCAAAGTTAGAATAAGAACATTTCAATATAATGCACTTTTAAATCATCTATTTGAATGGTAATACATCTGCAGTTATTTGTTATTTGTGCGTCAGTATTGAACACAATATTCATCACATTATTACTTCATAGTAAATGTATGTAAAATAAACTGAATTGATTTTGATGGAACCAACAAATGAAAAGTCAGGAGGACATTTTTCTTTTCGGTGGTTATAAATCCTGTTGAAAGCAGATCTGACCTGAAGTCACTCTGACTCAGCAGCTTCTTCTGCTCGGTCACACTGGCCTCTGGTGGCCGAGCTCAGGAGCTGTGAGATGTTCGTCACTGCGCCTCCATGTGCACCTTTAGGATTGTTGGTACAACAAACTTGTACAACGTTTTGTAAGTTTTCAAACAGAAAATTCCACATAAAATAAAACTATCATAGATCATGAATGACAGTGACGTTGACGTCACCTGGTAGGTGTTAAGTGTGAGTCTGCGAAGGCTCTAAATTGTGTAAATATGAATGCGACAGCACTTTGGGGCAAAAAATATGATTTACATATTTGTATTTATTTAATACGATTTGAACAGGCTATTATACAATGGTTTAAATATTGTTTTACGTTTGCTTTGGTGACAACATTTTATATTTTATGAATAGATTAATAAATATTGTCTTATTTTATGTGTTGTATCTTCAATCCGTTTTGTTATGACAGCGTGAACACACGTGTCCTCTTTGTTTACTTTTTTACTCTGCGTCACGTTGCAGTGCCTTGTGGGTAATTCCCTAATTCATTATCCAACGCGCACCCGCAGGTATTACGCGCTCACCCTCACGGGAGCGCGCCTCGGGCTGCGTGAGCGCGGACTGGGATTGGCCCTTGTGTCTCGTCCCCCATTGGCTGTCGCCGCCTCGCGCCCGCGCAGCGCGCCTTCCCATTGGCCGCCGGATCGACGCCTCTGTCGCCCGCCCGGAACCAGCGGTGGTGAAGGTGAACCCGGCCCGTCTCTCTCCGTCAGCCCGTCGCGTGAGCGCCTCCTTCCCCGCGCTGCTCTCGCTCCGTTGCCGGCCCGCCTCGCCCTCGCCCTCGTCCGCCATGTCCGTGTTCGGCGACGTCCCGCTGGCTCCTCCGGTCGCGGTCTTCAAGCTGAGTGCTGATTTCCGGGAGGACGGCCACCCGCAGAAGGTGAATCTGGGAGTTGGAGGTAAATGAGAGACGGAACCTAGCGGCTAATGCTACGGCTAAGTTAGCTCGCCGGAACGCGAGTAGACCCCGAGCCGTGCCGCACCGGGCTGTGCTGTTTTAAATGTAGCTACCTAGCTTCCCATTTAGCGCGGCGATGCTATCGTGCTACCAAACATTAGCGACTCGTTCACATGACCTTCGCTGCTAGCTAGCAGGGTTAGCACTGCGCTGACGGCTGATGCTACACATGTGACACCGGGAGAGATGTAAGTTGCTTTTGAGAGAAGCAGAACCTCGTCTCGTGACTCTTTCGCGGTTTACCCCCCAAAAAACGCTGAGCAAGTGCTTAACAATGTGAAATAAACAGCCGGTGGTTTAGCTGAGGCCGCTTCTTCCGCCGTCTGCGATGTGTCCTTGAACGCATCCTTTCCCACTTCATGTATTTAATAGCAACTGTGTTGTTGTTGTTGTCTGACAGATCTCCACGTTGTTTACCTGTTGATGATGTGCTCTGTGCACATTCCCGCAGAACACAATGCAAATAATACCAATAAAAAAAGCCAATCAGGGCTTATTGAATATATCAAAGTTGTGCATCTGTCTTCTCATTTGGTAAAAGTTTTGCTGTCCGACTTAAAGAGATTTATTGGTGATAATTTGTCACTGACGTACTTGAACACCTGCATCTTTTCTCTCTTGGACAACAGACCATACAAACAAGCCTTTTCGATGTCGAGTTATCAGTGGCAGTTTGTAGTTGTTCAGCATGATGTTCATCTAGTAAATTATGGTCAATTCAGTGTAAAACGGAGCATAAAGCAGGTGATGCTTTTTAGGGCGGGGCTTACTGTGATTGACAGGTCTGCCGTCTCCGTCACTCCTCAACGTTCCAAATACGAAGTCTGCTGCAATGAAGCGTATCTGTAACTTAAGGCCCGATTGTGATCGTATAAAAACACTCTCATATCTCCTGCTTTTATAAACCTTTTTAAATGTATTCAGGGTCTGAAAACACGTCTGTTTGGAGCCGATGAGCCGTGATTCACGAGGTGACATTTAAAGCGTAGCTGCTCTTTGAAATGTCAAATCCACTCAACAACAAGCTGCCTGTGTGACCTTTTCAGAGTGCTTCTTCAGCTCTGGTTAGAGGCCCGATATCTGATCCAGCTCTGCAGGGGGGGGGCACGAGTTCTTCAGGGGTCAAATGTGTGCGACACACACGTAGAGAAGTTTATAGGGGCATCAGTCACTCATCTCATCAACACACAAGGGAAAAAAGCGCAGATATGACTTACCGACCCTGGTTCTGATCACTTTTCTTTGGCGCAGACATGAAGGACCATTTGTTCGATTAGTGCAGCTGGTCTACAATGATCCAGACCGTTTGGCCACCGTCACACAAATAATTTCAACTGCTCCGAAGTCGGTAAACCATAAAGATGTAAATGTGTCAGATTAGTTTGACGGCGGCGTCCCGTTGGGCCGGGGTGACCTTCAGGAGAAGTTCTTCTCCTCACAGCCGCTGAACTTCTCCGCTCCGTGTCGCTCCAGCTTACCGCACCGATGACTGCCAGCCGTGGGTGCTGCCGGTGGTGAAGAAGGTGGAGCGGCTCATCGTGGAGGACGCCGGCCTGAACCACGAGTACCTGCCCATCCTCGGCCTGCCCGAGTTCCGCTCCGCCTCCTCCAAGGTCGCCCTGGGAGACGGCAGCGCCGCCATCAAGGACGGCAGGGTGAGAGGCACACAGTAATAATATTAATAATAATAATAATAATATTCGTATTATTATTAATAGTGATATTAGTATCATTATTAATAATGATATTATTATTAATAATAGTGATATTATTATTAAGTTAAAAAAGCATCTCAAAGGTCCCTGCACCATTTTGGAAGTTTGCTTCTTTATCTTTTTGATCAGATAAAGTTAATAAATCTTTTCATCCGACGAGTATTTGTTCTTAATCTTATGTTGGGATTTATTTCTTCTATTTTAGCATTTTTTGATATTCTTTTTTTGTACTAATATATCTTATATTGTTTGTAAATGTTTTTTTCTGACGTCCTCGCGTATCGTATATTAAGATTAAATCATGGTTTGTGTTATTTGATGCATTTGGTATTCAGTTAGTTAAGTTAAGATGTTCCTGATGACTCGGCTTTCCGTTCCTGGTTTCTCTCTCCTCCCTCGTCCCGTCTCAGGTGGGGGGCGTCCAGGCCCTCGGTGGGACGGGCGCGCTGAGGATCGGGGCGGAGTTCCTGCGCCGTTGGTACAACGGCGTCAACAACACGGCCACGCCCGTCTACGTGTCAGCGCCCACCTGGGGTTAGTAGACGAGGGGTCGCCGTGGAAACGCAGCCCGGAGGTCTGACTCTGATCGTAATAATGTTCTTCTTCTTCTTCTCAGAGAACCACAACAGCGTGTTCGCCGACGCCGGCTTCAAGGACATCCGTCCGTACCACTACTGGGATGCTGCTAAGAGGGGGCTGGACCTCGCCGGGCTGCTGGATGACCTGGAGGTGAGGAGGAGGAGGAGGAGGAGGAGGACGACGTCTCCTATGAGCCCGACAGTTCGTACGTGTTTTGTGTCGTGATTTCATGGACGTCATTTGACCCTTTTGTTAAAAACAGAAAGCTCCGGAACATTCCGTCTTCGTCCTCCACGCCTGCGCTCACAACCCCACCGGCACCGACCCCACCCGGGAGGAGTGGAAGCAGATCTCAGAGATCATGAAGGTGAGAGGAGGAGGAGGAGGAGGAGGAAACGTATAGATTTATAAATCTCTGCTTCATTCTTATCGACCTTCTGAACCACGAAACCAGCCGGCAGGTTTTACAGGATGTAGTTTTATTTATTTCTATAACGGATCGGCTGCCACTGCTGTGAAGGAATAAAACCTCGGAGCTCCTCACAGCATCCGTGTAGTCATGTGACCCAAACTGAGATTTTAGCTTCATTCCTGCTTCGTATAAAACCTCTAGATCTTTATTCTGTTGAGTTAAAGACGACCTAGAAAGCTGCACGCAGGATTTAAAGATGCTGTTTGTGTCTTTGTTCCATGCGAATGATTTTAAACCCGCAGGTTCCAAAGTTTGCGGAATGTAATTTTCCTTTAAATGAAATATAAGGAGACGTTCTGAATGTAGACGTTCTTCTTGCTCGTCTTTCCACATGTTTCGAGTTTTCTCTCCTTGTTGATGATGATTGATCGTGAAAAACGAGGCCAAAAGACACAAAAGCTGAAGGCGACCAGGAGCAGCTTGAGCTTCAGGGGGACGTCGTCTTTCTTCTCATTTCTTCCTCCGTCCTTTCCGTCCTTTCTGCAGAGGAGGAGCTTGTTTGTGTTCTTTGACTCCGCCTACCAGGGTTTCGCCTCTGGCGACCTGGATAAAGATGCCTGGGCCATCCGCTACTTCGTGTCAGAGGGCTTCGAGCTCTTCATAGCTCAGTCCTTCTCCAAAAACTTTGGCCTTTACAGTGAGTGCACAGGAATGAATAATACAAACTATACACACGGAGGCGTTCATAAAACTGCTCTTACTTCCGCTTCCAGACGAGCGGGTCGGCTACCTGACGGTGGTCGCCCGGGACAGCGAGAACCTTTCCCGCACCCTGTCCCAGATGGAGAAGATCGTCAGGACCACTTGGTCCAACCCGCCGTCCCAGGGAGCGCGAATCGTCAGCAAGACGCTGAACTGCCCCGAGCTGTTTGCTGAATGGTACGTTCCAAATGCGCGGGGTCCCCCAGGCAGCCTCCGAGGGGCACAAAGGGGAACTAAAAAGAATCACTTCATTGGTTTAAAAGGTCTTCTGAGGCGGGAGAAGTAGTCAAAATAACTCAGCAAATCATTCACGTAATTGAGTCTTTGAACGCATCAAACTCTTTAAAATGTGGATATTTCCCGAATGTCACCACGCACGCGTCCCATAGGAAGAGTAACGTGAAGACCATGGCGGACCGCGTCCTGCTGATGAGGGACCAGCTGAAGGCCAAGCTGCAGGCTCTGGGGACCCCGGGGACCTGGGACCACATCACCCAGCAGATCGGCATGTTCAGCTTCACCGGGCTGAACCGTGAGTGTGACCACGCGCACACACACACACACACACACACGCACAAGGAGTTGGCGTTGCCAGTTTGCCAGTGGCAACCATTAAAAAAAATGTTTTTAAACAATTCTAGCTTACTTTTAAAAATTAGGCTTTTTTGCTATTTAGTCCCACCCCTTTTCACTAAGCGTTCCTACATTATAAATATGTTTGAGTTAATAAATGTGGTCCTGTGTGCATGTGTAGATACGAACGTGCGCACAGGACGCCGCAGTGAGTCACTAATGAGCCGGATGATTAGATCATCATGACCTGTGTGCTCCGTGTCGCTGCAGCCAAACAGGTGGAGTACATGATAGCGGAGAAGCACGTGTACCTGATGGCGAGCGGCCGCATCAACATGTGCGGCTTGACCACCTCCAACATCGACTACATCGCCCAGTCCATCCACGACGCCGTCACCAAGGTGCAGTGAGGCCCGCGTCCGTCTACGCAAAGCCCCCCCCACCCCCCTCCACCGCCCCCCTCCCGGCCTCCTGTGCGCCTGCAGGAAGTACCCTCACGTCTGTGACCCCCCCCCCTCCACCCGACCTCCCGACTGGCTGCGTCAGCGGATTTCAGTCCAACCGATGAAGCGGTTTGTTTGTTCTGAAGGTGCGACGGTTTGAGGAAGACACAAACGCACAAATGTAAAAAGGTTTTATTTTGCGTCTGAATCATTTCAGGTCCCACAATGTCGTTCGTAGGACTACAAGGGGACTCGTCGTGCTACTGAGCAAGTTGCTATAACGGCTGCGTTGATGTGACTACATGTTGCCGTGGTTACGGGTGACAGCCAGAAACTAAACGGGTTAAAAAAAAAAAGAAGAAAATATTCGTCAGAATTCAATGGAATATGTGTTTATTTATTAATCAAATCGTAACGCCGGAGTGTAAATGAGGCCGTTGGGAGTCTGTCATGTGACCGCGTTTGAGGGTCTCGTGCCAGATGTTGCTTTCTTTGTCCGCCCTGTGCAGCCTTCCCCCCCCCGACCCCCCGCAGTGCCCTTATTGTGTCACAGGAAGCGTCCGTGCAGTCGGGTTGTCGGTCACATGACCACCCGCCCATCACATGTTTGTAAAGGCACACAGCAGGATTCATCCTGGAATAAATTATAACCACCAACCGTGTGTGTTTTCTGTCTTGTTTTATTTTTATCTTAAACTTTCACTTCTGTGAGTAAAAGCAGTGAACGAGTCTTGAGTTGTTTCCACCAGTCGGATGTAACAACATCTGAAACATTGAAGCTACAAACGAATCTCCAGCCGACCGAAGAAACCCGCCGCCACGTGTCCGACCCCCCGGAGGACGATGCTCACTGGCTGCAGTCGGCCGCTTCGATGCAGCAAAGTGACTCAGCAGGTTTGATGTGTACTCCACAAGACCCGCCTCCCCCCCCGACATCAACCAATGAGGAGGAGAGAATCCTCCCCCATCGCTGTTCAAACTGGCAGCAAAACACAAATTAAGTGGTTTGTTGTACAAAATGTGACTTAATATTTCACTTTCAGAACTCTGTCTTTGCTCTCATCGTCTCCACCTGTCCTCCACCTCCTGCTCCTCCTCTTCATACTGCATCTGCTCTGTGCTGCAGAGCAACAAATCTGATTCTGCTCCCCAAGTCAGTCAGAACTCCGTCCCATCGACAGTTACTATTCGATAAAGCCTCATTTTCATATTTTATAACCGCTTGAAAGTGATTAATAACTCTTAGCTTGTGTCTCCTGTAGGTCGATCTTGAGCTTCTTCTATCTCTGCTGAGGTTATATTTATGGTCGTGTGTGTGTGTGTATAATTAGTTTTAGGACAACGTGATCAGTTGTGTGGGTGCGACAGCAACGAGACACGTTGTTGGAATCCAGCCGTTTTATTTACACCTGTGCTCCTCAGTCGGAAGAAAAACAAAGACTCATTTCCTTTGAATCCACGAAAGTTGCAGCAGAAACCAGAGGAGTTAAATGTCGGTGGAGAAACGTTTCAAAGCTTCTCTGAAGCATGCTGGAGAAGCTTAATCTGCATTCAAAATGTCAACCCGATAAATTCACATTCAAATCATGCAGCCGGGAGGCAAAGGGAGCTTCTGCTCTTCAAATTGTACCAATTGTTTTTCGCCATTTTGTTTTCAGAAATCCCATTTTTTTCGTGTGGAAAATAAGTTGAACCGAAGTCTTGGAAGGTGCCTCATCAACATGGTGGGCGTATTCAGCCCGGACGTCCTGTGCTGCTGCGCCACACTTCTCCCCCAGAAGGAGAAGACGAGCTTCACGGATCATTGAAATGGACGAAAAAGAACTCGGCTGCTTATTTAAAGAGACTCATGAAGCCGAACGCAGATCAAAGGCTCAATGCAGGTTTCTGTGATGCTCTGAGTCCCTACCAGGTGTGTAATATATATATATATATATATATATATATATATATATATATATATATATATATATATATATATATACACTACATAGAACTCCAATATGTAATATATATACAGGGTTAATTATCAGCTGTGACGATATCAAGCTTTTTTTAAAATCTAACATTTAAATACAAAAACTGATCCACTAATGTTTAAAATATTGACTTTGGTTCATGAGACGAGCAGAAAGAAAGCAGAGAACATCTGGACCCCATCTGGGTCGGTCCAAAGCGTCCTGGATGAACTTGGGTTAGTTTGTATGACGTCGGCGTGTTAATACACTTCAATCAGGATCCCTGTTACCTCAGCAGGTAACAACACGCACCTTTTCAAATTAAAAGCCTGAACTCGAAGCAGCAGGTCCACGTCTGCTCTGTGCACATCCGGAGCAAAATATGTACAAAAAAAACATCTTTGGTGTCTTCCGTCGTTCATCCATTCACTCCATTGGAGCAGTGATCACATGAAGAGGGTATAAAATCTATCGTCTGTACATAGAAATCATTCTGATTCAAACGAGCAGCAGCATGAGGAACCTGTGACCCGATGATGTCTTCAAATATATATTTATATCTAGAAAATAGCGTCTCGCGTCCGTGGGGTCCGTTCTACCTCCAGCAGTGGGGGGGGTTGAGGGTTGAGGGGGCGTCAGATAAAACTCTGATATCTGAGGGTCTTTACTCAACGCTAGGTTTTCACCAGCGGCTCTTCTGAGATGTCCTCCGGCGTCTTCTCTCCCTCGCGGGACTTTTTCCTCTTCTTGTGGCCTGAGGAGGAAACGCAGCGAGGCACGATACTCATTACTATTCATTCGTCCGTGTCTATGAGTCATTTACGGTGTTATTTATTCAATGAAAAGGTCTTTTTTCTTCTGTTGCGCTCTGTGGGAAGCTATTTTTGGCGAAAGTAAAACTTGTCCTGGTGACTAATGTGTAATAATAAACACTGTTGTGTTTACCTCGTATTCGTTTGCCTTCATGCTCCATAAGCTGATTTTAATAGCGAACTAAAGCAGGAAGAAGGGAAGGAACGACGTCCATAAACTAGAAGCTGTGGTTTGCATCAGGACACCTGATGAGAATACAAAGTGGCCCAAATCACTAATGTATGTTTGAGTGTGAGGCGACTCTGCAGAGGAAGCTAGTGACTGTGGGTGTAGAGCGGGGTGTGCGTGTGCGTGTGTGTGTCTCTGTGTGTGTGTGTGTGTGTGTGTGTGTCTCTGTGTGTGTGTGTGTGTGTGTGTGTGTGTGGGAGAGACTGACTGAGTTGTGAGCAGGAGTTTCTTGCCCAGCGTTTCCTCCGATCCGCTCAGCGACAAGCTGCTGATGAAAGGAGACGAGTCGGTTTCTATGGGAACGGAGGCCGTGTCTGAGAGAGAGAGAGAGAGAGAGAGAGGGGGGGGGGGGGGGGGGGGGGCGAGAGAGACAAACAACTTTGGTCCTGTTTTTCTTTTCTTTTGACAAAGTCAAACTAAAGTCGACGGCCGCTCAGGAAAGTTGTTTTAATTCCGCCGTTGTGGAACCATTTGTTGGTTTGGATATTATCGCCCGTGTTGTCACGTCATTAGCGTCTGAGCGTAGCTGCTGGGGGGGGGGAAATACCGGTGTGGGCGTCGCTCGCCACTCGGTCCTCCCTGATGTACGGGACCTCGAGTTCCTCCATCCTGAGGAACACCGAGTCGCTGGGACTCTTCTGCCCATCAGACTTGCTGCCTGCAGCAGAAAAACACACTTATAGTCACACATCATGGCTTTTCCTGACATGTTTTATAAAGAGTCACTGTCTCAAAGCTGCATTCTGTGCGGTGACCACCAGGGGGCGACTCCTCTCCCTCCATAGAAATCTATGACGAAATTACTCTACTTCTCTGTAGTGGTCAATAAGGGGCGACTCCTCTGTTCCCAAAGACATCTATGAAGAAATGACTCTAC